ACATCTATATCGTTATTGACCAAGTCTGCCTCCAGTGCAACTACAGCTCGTACTCGATTTTTTGTTTTTGCCAGACTACATATGTTGATAAACATAAATTTAGGAACAGCAAAACCCGACTCTCTCGAAGGAACTTTTCTTGTGGATGCTAAATTAATAGGTACCAAGTTACTTCGTCTCCCTGAGTTAATATTTGAAGTATTATTAGAATTATAGTGGTGGTAATTTTGTCTCTGTGTAATTCTAACAGGAATAGCTAAGTTCTTTTTCTTATCATCCCATGAACAAATTCTAGGTAATTCAACCAATCTTTCTGATTTTGTTGTGGTTGAAGGTTTGGTTGGAAATTTTGATATGACTGGAAATTCTGATGAGGTCGATGATTCTGATGGGACCGGTAATTTTGATCGTATGGGTGAGGTCGATGATTTAAACGGCGTCGTCGAAAATTTGTCAGGTGAGCGGAATGGAGTGATGTCTTATGGTTCCCTTGATGCTTGGGAATTTCACTCACAGCATCCAGTGGAATCCGATCGGTGATTTTAGTTATGCTACGTTGGGATTGAGTATTAATTTGTCGTTTTGCATAATAGCCATGCTTGTATCGCTTCGAGTAAACCCTCTTCTTATTGGGAAGCTTACTTTGTTCATTATTCTGCATATTTGATGATGGTAACTCAATTAGTGGCAAGTTTCCCAAACACATAGGTAGCGTCGTTTTGGTTTTACACCGTCTAATTGGTTGACCTTGTGGTGTACCTTCTACGGTATTGCAGTTTGATTTAGAATTCTCACATTGATAATCACGAACACTATTAGAATTGTTATTGACTTTACTCTGTAGTTTATCACTTTGATGCCCATGTGATAAACAAAACTGTTCATCCTGTAGAACAACTGATTTATTACAGGGGTTTTCACTGATTTCGTTTTGTTTACTAATTATATGAGTATTTGATTGTTCTCTGTTCGCGATGGTTGACCGCTCATTTGTTATATTTTGTATATTTTGCATGTTAATCATTTGACTATGAATTTGTTCAATCGCTTTACTGTTCTGGTATATATTATTGGAGAGTCTCGACCCGTTATTACGGCATCTAACTTCACACCTTCGAGTTCAGTAGATAATTCGTTACACTTCCTCATATTTTCGCCGATATCCCTAGCAGAAATCGACTGGGCATTTGAACCAGACGCATTCTTTCCTAACATGCAATTTCCACAGGAAACCGGGGTTTCCTGTATCAATCTACTTATAGAATTGTAAACATTGTTTGTTAAATCAAACAGACGATCAATTTTCTTGAGAGCATCTCTCAATTCTTCAGACAAATGATCACAATTCTCGTTTTGTGTTTGAGAGGCACATTCCTGTGTTATAAGAGTATTATTATTTTGATCGATTTCGATGCACTGCTTCTGTCCGTTGGTCTGGCTAACATCGGAAGGCTGGCAAACACTATTTACTTCAGTTATTGAGTCAGAATTGTGAGAACTGACACCGTCACAGACATTAGTTATAGAAGTTGTGCATACCTTTAAGTTGTCTTGAAATTCGTCAAATGTGCTCGACATACACGCCTTAATCAAGCATTCCTTTACCAAATTGCCAGCCTTTCCACGGAATAGTACTTCATTAAATTCGGAATAATACTTCATTAAATTCGATTCCAGGCATCGTCCTCATCATATCAAAATAGGACGTTTGCCATTGACCATAACACCAGATGATACGTTGAGGAGGCGGACTTATAGTTTTCTGTGCATTCTCCAAGAGAGATTTCACCCATACAGTCTTACTGCTTTGGGTACATCCTGCAACGATGCATGTAAATGGGTGTTGCATGACTGTAACTCCATTCACAGTAGGAGTTTGTTGCCCAAGATTACGATTTCCATATGCATGGACAACCTTCTTGTGGCGAAGGAGATTACTCGCATTTGCAAATGTTTTACCGCAGATGTCGCATTCATAAGACATGTTTACTTCTCAAGAGTAAGAGTAAAATTATTTAAAGCAAGGGTGAAGAGGTATATTTATCCCGTTGGCCATTGTCATGACTATGAAGACTGTGGTGATGACTATTAAGACTATTGTCATGACTATTAAGACTATAGACATGACTATTAAGACTATGGTGAAGACTATTAAGACTATAGTCATGACTATTAAGACTATAGTCATGACCATTAAGACTACTATTAAGACTATTAAGACTACGGTGATGACTATGAAGACTATTGTCATGACTATTAAGAATATAGGCATGACTATGAAGACTATAGTAAAGACTATTAAGACTATAGCAAAGACTATTAAGACTATAGTAAAGACTATTAAGACTATATTCATGACTATTAAGACTATAGTAAAGACTATTAAGATTATCGTAAAGACTATTAAGATTATATTCATGACTATTAAGACTATAGTCATGACATTCCGTTGCTGACCGCCGAACAGAGATGACTAGCAGTTATATCAAATACAGACCGTTTGTGGAGTTTTTGTGTAACTCATCCAATCCAATTCAACAGCAAGCTCTGTTGAATTATGCATCTCATGAACAGATTCGCTTTCTATGTAATTGTTTGGAAAACTTTACATATCCTAATGGAACATTGAACAAACTTGGTCCATTTAAAGATGATCTCGCTGACTTAGCAGTAGGAGTTTTAGAAAGAAAAGGAAAATTCTTGTTCAGCGCGTGAGTGGTTTTCTAGGATTGCTACTTGCGCCACTTTTAGAGGGCCTTGCAGAATTAGTATAAAATAAGCATCATTAATTCACATCGTCATTCCAACCATGGACAGCAAGGAAAGATCATCTCCGAAACATTGGCGTGTTGAAGATATACTTGGACACTTAAACGATAATGTTGATAAAAACAATGCTGGAGAACTTCTTCACTGCATTCTCACACCCACGGATATTCTCACATGGAATCTTCAAGGGGAAATTGTATACAAGGGACAGAATATACGTGGAACAAATATTGTAGATATTTTGCAATATACTATTTTACCATATAATACTGAAATTCCAGAAACGGCTGGACTGAATATATTTCTTAAAGGTCTTGCAAAATTGGAAATTGATAAAAGCCTAATCGTAAATGGACGTGTCCTTACAATGTTAGCTCACAAGCAGCCACTACATCATGTGGATACGAAGATGAGTCTGAAGACATGGACACAACTTGTAACAGTTGTAACAAAGATTTTGTTCAATTTAGTTTATAATTTTAATAGAAATCTTCGGAAAACAATATAAACTTTATATTTACACCTCGAGTACACAAACGTGAACGTAACACAAACGTACAAAACCTGAGCCCGCGATAAACAACGCGGTTATTAATAAGAACACAGCTAACCCAATATAATGTTATCAATTAAAACGTTAAAACGTTTCTAAACTGTTGAGTGCTATTTACAACACTCCCACTCACTCAATATGTCCTTGTATCAGTCCCAACGTACATCGCAGATACTCAAATTGTCCTTTGGATAGTGATCGTCGATCATCTGAGTCAGAAGCCCAATCTGCGTCAGAGTATCCCTCTACATTAGCATCGGTTTCTTGGTACTGCAGGCGTAGCTGAGCAGTTCCTTTCAAATACCGAAAAACGCGCTTGACCGCTGTTAGATGTGCCTCGGTCGGTGATGAGTTGAATTTAGCCAATGCTGCCACTGCGTAGGCTATGTCTGGACGAGTAGCTATCGCCGCGTATATCAAACTGCCTACCATTGACTGGTACTGAACGACATCCACTGGTTTGCTATATCCATCGTCCTTAACCAGTATTGTAACGAGTCGAGTCATTGACTCGGACTCGAGTCGAGTTGCTATTTTTAGCGAAGAAAGCAGCCACGACGATGAATCTGACAGCGAAACTTCTCAAACAAGTGACGAGATATATTAGAAGCATAATTTTGTAAAACGTTTTGGAGAACCTCCGCACCCTTACGCACCCTCATTTATATGAATACTAGAAATACATGCATGCAGCAACCCCTCGCATGTATTTTCCAAACATTGATGTAACATGAAGTATTAGTAATTGATCAACACTGAACGCAGGCTCGCGTTTACGTCAGTGTTGCCATGGCAACACGATAAATTTAATTTTTAGTATAATTTTTGTACAGCACGCCAAAAATAGTTGAAAGATTATTGCTTTTAAACGGTTAACAGGCCTCTGTAACTCAGTTGGTTAGAGCGCTGCACCGGAATCGCAGGGCCGTAGGTTCGATTCCTACCAGAGAACCTTGTGCTGCATTTTTCGTAGTCGTTCCTGGTCAGGTCTTAAAATGTATAGATATATACTCACTTGGATTACAAACCCTAAGAACAGCATTCAAATATTAATACCACCAAGTGAAGTGCAAGAAACGAGATCATTGAAGTCCAAACGATTATTGCTTTTAAAGGTGATGTAAAGTCCGTAATGTAAACAAACGCTTTGTTTACATTTTGAACTCAGTGCTACAGATGTAAAATATGATTAAATATATATTATACTGAATTTTTAACACTCTTCCGGTTCGCTATGCTTGTAAATGAATGCAGACTAGAGATTCAATTCAAGAAAGTTAGGAAGGTGTGAAATATTAACAACATTCCAAAGGTTGCTCCCCCACTGATGGAATGTGTTGATGCGCAGAATATATGCGCAGAACGGACTTTACAGCATCTTTAACTATATAACAATGAATTTGCGAAATACGTACTGTAGGTATGTTGTAAAAACAATTATATTTTATCGCCATGCAAACATTCAAAGAACTTATTGTAGGTATGTTGTTTTGCATTTTGTGAGCTTTGATTCAATGTAACATTTAATGTGAATCGCTTCGTAAAATGTTTTGAAATGTTCATTTTAATATTAAACTATAAACTGCTTTTTCCGATATAAAACTGTACGGGTTTTTAGTTTATAAAACAAAATAAGTTCAAATTGTTGAGTAATTTCAGTTCGGTTTTCAAATGAAGTTTCTCTCCTTTACATTTTACCTTTTACTCTTAAATTAAACAGGGTAATTTAGCAAACTTTAATACAGCTTCATTGAAAAGGAAAGTAGTGCGTGTTTTACGCAATATAAGTACAGCAACAAAATTCATAAACATTTAAAAAAAATTAAAACATTCAAAGCAAACTTGCCCTATTTTCCACGATTTTCCACAGTACGTCAATTCTTCTCATTTCTTCAAACAAAAATTGCTTCAAAGCTCATTGTGTGAAACGTGATTTTCCAAATATATGCCTTTGAAAATTGAATCTAGTTTTTATCCTGGCAAACAGCCATATTTTTGAGATCAGTGAGGATGACCACCCACGGTTGGTGTTGGTGACCCACGCCCGTGATCATTGATGAACTTTAGACTTCGCTAATGCTTCCTTTTCCCCGGGTGTAAATAGCTGGAGGGAATTAGTACCCTCGCACGGCGTTAACGGTTGACTCATTAAGCTGCAGAGCGCCGAAGAGGCTGAAGCTGGGGATCATACCATTTTTCACTACTAAGAGTGTAGTAAAAAGTTGCTCAAAAAGGAAAAAGGGTAATTTATAAAGAGTAACACAGTGCTGTAGGAAGCTCTTTTTGATTGGAGAGCTGAAAGCGAGGGCCAAAGGCCCGAGGAAATTTTAAATTTAGAGTCTCTGAAATGCCATTTTCTGGACTTTAGGGAAGATTTGACAGAATTGTGATGGTCAGAAAACAGCATTTTAGTATGTCAAAATTTACAATTTAGTAGCACTAAATGGGCGAAGGCGTATTTAATTAACCATATATTGGATATGTTGCAGGAAAGTATGAGAAATATCTTCATTCTTTGCAGTTTCTCATGAATAATGTAGCCGCTTAAAATTAATCAATTGTCAGTATTTTAAAGATATATTATTTAAATGATAGAGGTCTGCATGGTTTTGGAAAAGAGTGATTATTAGCAAGCTGCGGCCCTGGATTAGGAGTAAGGTTAGGGTACTACGTCAATGAACTACACAGACCGCTGAACAGCTAGTGACTCGGACATTTGACTTGGGCTCGGACTTGACATGGTAAATCGACAAACTCCTTACTAAATTAAACCGTGTATAAAATACCTAGTATAAACTAGTGTATATAGTATATGCCAAACTTTCCCTGGACGTAACGTTGCTACATCGCTTACTCGTTAATTTTCTTTTTTATTAAAATGTACATAATTAATTGAAATATGACAAAAATTTATGGCAAGTTCATGGCAAAAGTTATAAGGTAGATGTTCGATTATTTTTCATATTGGCTGTAAGCATTGCATTTTAGGTATTTGTGCATTGCATTTTGGGTCTATTTGTTGATTAAAATTGAGAATTTTGCTAGCTATACACGCATGAATTAAATTTGCTGCCTTGCTCGCTCCCTGTGGTAGCAATAATTGTTACATGTCAAATTTTTCTCCACTATAATAAATAACTGGACCCTCCTTTTGAACCAATATTTTTAGGTGCCCCCCCTTTTTCGGTCACAAATACCTCATGCCGACCCCCTTTTTTGCCAGCCCACCCCCAGTCATAAATAATGAATGGTCCCTAAGTTCAATTCAATTCAATTCAATTCAATTTCAATTCAATTCAATTCAATTTATTAAGTCAAATTAATTTACAAAATCAATAAAATGTTGCTGTCCACAAATAGCAAAAGCTAATCGTGGTGGACAGCAACTACACACATTCGGAATTAAAGAAGATTTCAAAATTCATTAGTAAATACAAGCTCTATTCATCACCAAAAAGGCATATATATGATAGAAATACATTCACCATATATACAAACATAATGTCTAACGAATGATCAGACTTAAATTCAAGATCATAAAATAATTTAACTTTTAGATTATTGCGATTTCTTTTTAAGTTGACCGAGTCAGATCATAAGAAAGCTTATCAAGAATACTTGAAGGAAAAAAAACTTTTAGAACAATTGTGATACATTTTGCGATAAAATATGTTTTTATCAAATATGTGGTCGTTTTATACGTTGCCATGTGTTACTAGTTATTAGCGACGCTTGGGTGCATGCATATATTAACGTACAACATATTTGTACACTAATCAAGCGGGCGGGTTAGACAAATCGTGCGGGCGGACGGGAAAGAGTGAGCTTTGCAGGCAAAAGTTTGCACAAGATTTCAGTTTTAAAATACATTTATTTCTTTAAGTGCTACAAAGTTAATAATTCTTGTCTATATAAATATAATATTATCCACTTAAGACTTTTGTCCCGTTTTTATTTCTAACTTTAACCACTCCTTTGAGCCATCATTCATTTCTGTATTATCCACGTACTTTGCAGATTTTGTATTTGATTTTGTTTTCCTCCTGGAGGATTTTGGTTGACGGATGAGTATATTCTTTTTCCCGCTTTTATTCGATTTGACTGCTTTCTACTGTTCGCAATTAATCTGTACAACTCTGTTAAAATATTTTCTAAGTCTAAAGCTGTTGACTTAGCACGAAGAAGATATAAGGTTGTCTTTCTTGGGACGAAAGTTCATGGACGTCTGCCAAATGACAAAGACATCCCTGGCTTCCATAATCTTTTTGTGTATTGGATCTCTCTTTAGTTGTCTTATCCATAGTAGACGTTCCAAATAAATATTCTGCAAATCTTTACGAAGTTTTGGTAGGATAAGTAAATATGCCTTGTTTTCAGCTTCGTTTTCGTCAAAACCTTCTGCAGTGAAATTCTGCGTTAGTTCTTAGAATTCCGATAAACTTTGTTGGGTTGCTTCAGCTTTTAAAGGAGCCCATGGATCGCTTTCGTATTCATCACCTACTTCACTACTAGTATCATCTACATTATCAGAATCACTCTCTGACACAGAATCAGTTTCCACTTCGTTGTCAGTGTTATACGAATTCTCAACATCACTCTCTGATGTAGCACTATCAGAGTCTGCAACCGTTCTCATTCTTTTCACCTTTACACTGAAATCTGTAGTAGGTTTCCAACAGTACTGCATTTCCTTCGTATATTGCTGGGTTGAAACAACTCCAACCACAACCAACCGGCGAATGATCAATTTTTTGAACAACATTACATTTTATGAAGTGGCCTTAAGGGACTTTTCTATGATTGGCTGGGATACTTCCCACCAAGCCTCCCCACCAATAGGATTCTCCCCACTAATAGGATTCACTTTTCACATTGGCCCCAAGGGCTTTTTCTACGGCCATGTGGCCCGATTGGCTGGGATACTTCCTTGTGGCCCGATTCTCTAGAATCCTATTGGTGGGGAGGCTTGGTGGGAAGTGTCCCAGCCAATCACCAATCGGGCCACAAGGCCATAGAAAAGTCCCTTACGGCCACTTCATAAAATGTAATGTTGTTCAAAAAATTGATCATTCGCCGGTTGGTTGTGGTTGGAGTTGTTTCAACCCAGCAATATACGAAGGAAATACAGTACTGTTGGAAACCTACTACAGATTTCAGTGTAAAGATGAAAAGAATGAGAACGGTTGCAGACTCTGATAGAGCTACATCAGAGAGTGATGTTGAGAATTCGTATAACCTAACACTGACAACGAAGTAGAAACTGATTCTGTATCAGAGAGTGATTCTGATGATGTAGATGTACTAGTAGTGAAGTAGGTGATGAATACGAAAGCGATCCATGAGCTCATTTAAAAGCTGAAGCAACCCAACAAAGTTTATCGGAATTCGAAGAACTAACGCAGACGAAAACGAAGCTAAAGACAAGGCATATTTACATATCCCACCAAAACTTCGTAAAGATTTGCAGAATATTTATTTGGAACGTCTACTATGGATAAGGCAACTAAAGAGAGATCCAATACACAAAAAGATTATGGAAACCAGGGATGTCTTTGTCATTTGGCAGACGTCCATGAACTTTCGTCCCAAGAAAGACAACCTTATAACTTATTCGTGCTAAGTCAACAGCTTTAGACTTAGAAAATATTTTAACAGAGTTGTACAGATTAATTGGGAACAGTAAATAGCAGTCAAAGTGGAATAAAAGCGGGCTAAAGAATATACCCATCTGTCAACCAAAATCCTCCAGGAGGAAAACAAAATCAAATACAAAATCTGCAAAGAACGTGGATAATACAGAAATGAATGATGGCTCAAAATGATAGAAACAAAAACGGGACAAAAGTCTTAAGTGGATAATATTATATTTATATAGACAAAATTTATTAACTTTGTAGTACTTAAAGAAATAAATGTATTTTAAAACTGAAATCTTGTGCAAATTTTTGCCTGCAAAGCTCACTCTTTCCCGTCCGCCCACGCGACTTGTCTAACCCGCCCGCCTGATTAGTGTACAAATATGTTGTACTTTAATATATGCATGCACCCAAGCGTCGCTAATGACTGGTAACAAATAGCAACGTATATAACGACCACATATTTGATAAAAACATATTTTTATCGCAAAATGTTACACAACTGTTCTAAAAGTTTTTTTTCCTTCAAGTATTCTTGATAAGCTTTCTTATGATCTGACTTGGTCAATGTATAGGAGGTTTGCTAAATAATGTTGAACAACATGCAAATATTGACCATAACAACGACGTTGACAACCATGTTAACCTGGGATTAGGATCTGTTTAGTTCTGTTTAAAATATGTCTCCATTTTTGTGACGATACGAAAAATCCTTCAATAAACCTGTGGAAATTTACCTCTTCCGAGCAAAGATACGGCTGTAACTCGATATTAATTCCGATAACAATTATGCCATGTGAAGGACTCGAACACATAGTAAGCCAAGATTAATCCCTCTATTGTATCACACACGTGGAGGGACGCTAAAAATGTCTAGTCAGCAAGTTTTGACCGATTTCGTCCGAACATGCCCGCGTGACGTCATTACATATAATTATAACGTATTGTATACTAATGGTGACGTCACTACGCACCCTCATTTGTATGAATATTAATTATAAATGAGGTTGTGGATGTCCACCACCTCACACCCCACCACCTCACTCACTCCTCCTCGCTCCTCCTCGCTCCTCCTCATTCCTCCTCACTCCTCCTCACTCCTTCTCACTCCTCCTCACTCCTCCTCACTCCTCCTCACTCCTCCTCACTCCTCCTTCTCAAAAATCATGCCCGATCGGTACCTATATTACTACTCCCTCAAAAATCCGGCTCGACAACCACCTACATTACTACTATCAAATATCGCGGGCGCAGTTCATGGATGTATGGGTGGTCATCACACAGATCTCAAAATATGGCTGTTTGCCAGGAGTGAAGAAGGGGAAAATATAAAAAATACATGTAAGAAAGCTTGGAAAATCGTTTCACATAACAAATTGTAAAACTTTTTTTCAATTTTTAAACGAAAACATTTATAAGAATTGATTTAGTATGAGATATATAGTATAGCCTATAGGGCAAGTTTGTTTCAATTGTTTATGTATGACTTTGTATTTGATTATAGACTTTGTTCTTGTTGTGCAAGTCTTTCCTATGCATTGTATGTGAAGGTTTCTTAGTTTTTTACTTAGTTTTGTATAGACCACTTCATGATACAAAGGAAAGCAAATTATTTTCATTGGCGTCCTGTACGAATTAAATTTATTTCATTTCAATGTGCGAGTAATAAGTTGAGGAGATTAATATCGGCAAAAAGCCGTTAATTTCAATTCACATTTAAAAACGTTTTTAATACGTAGAGTTTCGTTTCGAATTTTACATTAAAATAAAGCACATAGAAACCAAAATAATATACCTACGTTATATATTTTAAAAATTGATAGTTCTGTATTTAAAAGTGTTCAAGTTTAATCTATTTTTGTAGGTTTGTACAAAAAATTAAAAAAACAATTATCGTGTTGCCATGACTAACATGACGTGCAACGCGAGCCCGCGTTCAGTGTTGGCGTAATTATGAATACTGTACTTCATGTTGAAACAATGTTTCGAGAATATAGGCGATATTGCATGCATGTATTTCTAGTTAGTTTAATAATTTTGAGCGATTTGTCGACAATGCAATCTCGCTTGACTTTCAAAGGCCATAAATCGCTAGAATTATATTGTTTAGTAATAAATTTGACATCCATAAGTACAATTTCTTACGCTGAATGGAACGGTGGTATTTTTGTCCTTATTGGGCACATAAAGCTAGAGACAAGGCGCAGCAAAAAGTCAATCGTGAAAGTCCGAGATTAATATAAAAAAGAAACTTTCCTCGAAAAAAGGAATTCGAAAAACGTGAAGGATTATTTTGAGCGGCTTGTCTTCAAAAGGCCATAAATCGCTAGAATAGATATCAATTTTGAAATCAATTTCCATCAATAAAGATAACTTTTCACGCTGATTCGAACAGTGGTATTGTTGTCCTTGTTTGGTCATGAAACTAGAGATAAAGCCTAGCAAATATGGCAAACAGTCGATCATGAGAGTACAAGATAAATTAATTTTCCTGGAAAAATGACTAAATTTCGAGCACGTGCAAGGAATTTTTACTAGGCGATCGATTAAGGAAACGTATTGATGCGAACAAACTAACAAACTAAACAAGGGCAGATTTCGTGCTCGACCAACTAGCGCATTTGTTTACATTTTCGCTCTCAGCTAATCATAATGCAGGAAACGAGAAATTCACACCAAGGCGAGCTAGGAAATAGTGCTGTTTTCTCGGGCTTCCATGACATTCAATTTTAACTTTTTGCTCCGTCGGGCGTAGCCCGAGGGAGCTTTAAAATCCTAATTGTCTGTCTTTAGGATGTCACAAGATGAACATTTCACAGGTACATCGGTGTATTTTATGGATATTATGGGTGATTTTGCAAGTATGCTTCAGTGACCTGTGTCACTGAATTGTACTGTGTTATTCATGTTGTGTTGTAACTTGCTTCCAAATTACGGTATTTTTAGCTTCAGCGTAATTGACCATTTGCGTAATAGACTAAATTTTGATCTCAACAAAAATTTCAACACAGCTTGAAAGAACATCACAAAATTAGTAATATTTCAAAGTTTCGTTGCGAAATGTTGTAAAATGCGGAAAATATAGCCTTGCGAAATTTGCAATTTTCAGTCATTTTAGATTACAAACCGGAAATTGACAGCCTCGAAGGGTTTGGGGCTGTCAATTTCCCGTTTGTAATCTAAAATGACTGAAAATTGCAAATTTCGCAAGGCTATATTTTCCGCATTTTACAACATTTTGCAACGAAACTTTGGAATATTACTAATTTTGTGATGCTCCTTCAAGCTGTGATGAAATTTTTGTCTAGACTTGTTTAGTTCAAAATTTAGTCTATTACGCAAATGGTCAACTGCCTGAAGGTCTTCTATACGAAATCCTGTCTTCTGCCAAAACAGGAGAGTTTACTCTAATTTTAGGCAAAAGGGACATGTAAACTAATTGTAAAATAAGTTGCCATGTATGCAAAACTTTTCTAGCTTATCGTCTTTCGTTCTCCAGATATTCTTTCTTTTGACATGCAAATATAATTAAATAAATATATGACATTAGAAGGTGGTAGTCTCGTCAAAAGTTCGAAAATGATGAAATGATTCAAACTATATCGTTGACTTCTTGACCACAGCCGCTAACTGATTTTCTTTAGTTAGGGTTTCCTCCTGTAACTATAGTAACATTTTTTCAACGAATCCAGTAAATTAAGGACGGTCCTTACCTTTGGGGGAAGAGTTTAGAACTCGTCTGATAGTATATATTAGCTATAAGGTTTCCTAACTCATGCACTTTCATAATAAAAGGACTCAGTTAAGTAGTTTGTTTTTAATTGTCTTTGTTCAGAAAAAGGGTGGCAATTAAAATTTTATAAATTCCTACTGACAGGATGACGGTACTCCCCCACAAACTAATTACAACTAGTTATGTGGTATTAAAATTTTTAAGAGAGATATCGTGTTGTATTTGGGTCTGCAAAAGACAGTTACAGTTTTCACGAAGACACCAAGACATTCTAAGAGCGTGAACTCGCGGAGGCTCATAATTTGGTAACCGCTACAG